GCGTGTTGGTGGCAGCAGGCAGGGTATTTCCCCGAATAGTTATGTATGACAGTAAGGAAGAGTCTGCTGTCAGGTGAAATATTTACAGGTCTACTTTAGGGCATCCTCTCCTAATGTATGATCAACGCTACTTTTTCTGAATTACATTTGTTTGAGTTGTCTTGTATTGAGTTTTCTCATTATCATCACCGAACCAGGGATAATATCAACGATGAACCCCTTGAAATTGCTCCACTTAAAAGGGCGTACAAACCTTGAAGAAATGCCCACTTTACATTTAACGACAACTGTGGCAGTTTCTGAATTTGTTGAATACTTCCCAAAACCTTGTTTCATAAGTACTTGCCAGTCTTCACAAGAGCACTACAAGTGTACCCAGTGTGGTTACTAGCACGTACTCATCCCAAGTTTCCAACAATCCCTGATGTTGGAGTTGGGCTGGTTGGGGAATCCTTAGGGTGAAGGATTCGCCTACAACGGTGCTCTTCCTACCTGAACCAACCACTCCGATTCGTCCACCAGCTTGTGGAAGCCACACTCAGGGTCGGTCAGCACCGTGCTGGGCACGCAGGCCTTCATCAGCTTCTTCAGGCTGTGCTTGGTCTGGCGGGTCTCGTGAAAGTCGTAGGGGATGAAGTCGCACTTGTTGAACTGCTCTAACTTGAAAGGCTGACCATTGGGGGAAAAAAAAACAAGATGGAAGGAGTGTTACCATTTTCGCAAAGAGTTGAAGGATGGCAGAGGATGGTTGCGTATGCCGTAAAAGCTGAAGTACACCCACATGTATATCTTGCAAGACTCAACGTTTTGCCTGATTTGGGCATCACTGGTTCCCTCACCCCAAGCTCAATTCTTGACATCAAAATTTCACTCTTTGATATCTTTAGAATTGAAGGCGCTCAAGAGGCAATATTGGAACAAGTCAAGACACAAACTACTGTGCATCTCAACAACCTGCTATTTAACAATGCACAGTGGCAATGTAGTCACACCGGTATGACCCTTGTGGAACTATTTCTTGAAATCCTATCGTCAATCACATGTTGCTGTTGGCTGCCACTCTCACAGCGTTTGTGGTCCACTACATACAATTATGCAAATGGTTCCCTCCTTATTGCTTGCATTAAAAAACTGCTCGGTAATAGTTATTGTGTTTAATGAAACTGGATCCTGAACATGATTCCCTACAAAGCGAAAATTGTTCAACTACGGTACCTAAGTGAAGCATCGCTTATTATAAGGAGGAGATATGTGAATTCACACTAAAATCCTGTGGACAATGGCCAACTGTCCAGATTTCGGTTTAACTATGTGAGTATCTACATGTACCGAAATTGTGGGAGCAAATCATGCAGACTCACCCTGGACTGGGACTTCTCTCCGAAGATATACAGCGCCGCTTTGCGCGGGTCCTGGTCCTTCTTGGCTCCCAGGTCGTAGTCCGTCACCGATCCGTTCCGGCTCACTGCATTCGGGGCGAGGGTAAGGTTCTTAGCCGAGCCCGTGTTGAACCCGCTCGACCGGAAGCTGCTCAATTTACCCAGCGTTGCTCCTACACAGAGCCGGGGGAGATTGGGGAGGGTTCAAAGGTCACCGAATCAAACATGACAGCACGCGGCACACCTCTGTTCAGATGTTGGAGCGTTGATTGGCATGTCTAGTTTACTATTGGTTTAGAGCTTTTTTGTCTCATATTCTCACACCATGCTGTTAGTACATACCAGTATGTATCTTAGCTGGATTATATTAAACATTTTCCTACCAAAAAGATGAAGTGGTTTTTATGAATGTGAAGCGCAATGATTACGTTCTTTGGCTTCAGTTTTTGATGAGATGTGCATGTTTGTGTTCATGTGAATGTTGCATTTGTTCTCGTACATCCCCTTTATAGTCCATGCAAAGAGTCAACAGAAAGTGGACATATTCCAGTTACAGCCATGCCAACTTGTTGCTATGCTCAAAACAAACACAAATTTGGCAAAGGTAAGAGGACAGGCAGGGGGAAAACAGCATTAGTAAGGGACTGAAAGAGCAGAAAGCATAGTGACAGCAGACAGACAGGCAGAGAGCAGACAGACAAACAGAAGACAATGGGCATCACCTGGACTTTTTTCGGGGGGGGGGGATCAAAGCACTCATTCGTGATGAACAATGGAAGGGGGGAATTTCAAGTTGTTTTTTTCTGAGCAAATTGGTAGTTTATATTGTGCGATTCATCTTTTAAATTGTTTTTCTTTTATTTAATTTTATTTTAATTTTGGGTCCCCCCACTGCAATGCCCATTCAAAAGACAAAAAAACACAACAGGATGGCAAAAAAGACAGGGGCAAGGCCTGCTTACGGCTGGTTTAGGAGCAAAACAAAGACCAGCTGTCTCATGCAAAACAGATTTTTGGAACGTTGAGGTTTTTACAGCAAAATACATAATCAATTCGACAGGCAGGATCTGCAACTGTACATGTACATGCGCACATCAACATTTGGTGTGGAAATCTTGGCCTGAAGTAGAAAACCTGATTTCCAAAGCTTTCAACAGCTCAAAGCTTTGAAACTCAGGGGTTTGTGAAAACTTTGCGCAAAGGTTTCTATCTTGTTTCTGATTGGATGAAAAACTGAAGAATGCTTATCCATGGTTACCACGCCTCCCTCACAAAGACTTTGGAGTATTAATCTGCTCAATCCCCCCTCTCACCCACCTCCCCCCCCTCCAAAAAAAAAATTTGAGGTTGGAATACTGAATCCACATCTTAGGGAAATAGTGACTAGCCCCCTTTAATGTGCTTTGCCAGGTACGACACATATGACACACAGAAAGACAGACAATATGGCCGGCGAATAACAAACAGTGGAGAACACAGAAGGCAGAATGTTGATCCTTTTCTTAAGTTCGGCATAAAGTCGAAGAAAAAAAACTTTCTGGGATTCTGGTAGTCAACTGCAGTTGAAGTTGGAATGAACTTAAGTGTCATGCATACCCTGTTTGGTTTTGATAAGTTCATTCATGTTATTGTAAGGTGAGTGTTGCTGGGAACTACATGTACTTTCTGAGACTACACTGATAAAAATTAAACTGCATGCTGCCATGATGACCAGTGTTATTGAAATTCTTTGGCCAAAGCATAACAAATGCTTCAATTTCTGTTTTCATATTAAGTTAACGTAACGTTATTTAGCAGATGCGGTCAGCTAGGTGGAGCATGATGGGTAAATATGAGCAGCTGGCGATCAATGGAGGTTGGTTATTGGTGGAGATTAGTAAGGAACAGTCCACTCTTTGCATAGGGGGTTGCAGACATTTACAGTCAAACCAACTTGTGCATGTATTCCATCAGCCAAAAGACTAAAAGTAACCAGTGTAAAGTGTCCACTATGGGCAGGGTGACCACGGTGGACAGAGGACCAGAATCAAGAAATGGTTAAAGTGAACGGGTGACCATAGGGGACAAGGTCACCATGATGGATAGGCAGCTTGAGTGGACATGTGACGCCATGGACCATGAAAGCATACTCTTCTTCCAAGGATATGAGCACTACATGTTCGACGGCGCACATGCTAACATCCCTTATGCAAAGAGTCTTGGACAGTTTCTAGCAGGGATTGTCTCAAAACTTGGAACACTTAGAACCTCCAATTGGCATCCTCATGGGGATATTTTATTCATCCTGGAGAACTGCCCAGGACTGCCAAGTTTTCCAATCTATTTGGCTGCAGACCTTGTGGTAAGCATGGAAACATCCTAGATGCCTCTTAGCTGGCAAAACTTTGAGAAACAAATGTTCTCAGGTTTGAGACAATCCCTTACATGATCTGAAATGTAATGCAGCCAACATGGCTGGTCAACATCAGTGTCTGCACAAAGTTAACATTTAAAAGTCTGGTCAGTATGGGAATCCACTGCTGTGCAGGGCACCAGCTTTGTCACAAGGTTACAGGGAAACATGGCACCACTGCGCAAAGCATCAGGTGTCCATTTGCCATTACCATGCCTCATACATATTCATGATGGAGAGCTGAACTCTGACTGGTCTTATTCCCATGCAAGTTGTTTATTTGCAGTCTGCAAAGCAAACTTGTGAGAATCGAAGTTCAAGACAAATACATGTGCGGGTACTGAACCTTTCCCTTGGGAACATAAAATTGTTGCGTGGGTGAAGCACGCAATACTTGAGCACAGCCCTAGCTGCGCTGTATGCACACTGCAGATGAACAGATGGAGGCACGCATACGTGTACTTGCTGCCTTTCCCTTGCTGTTGAAATTTTAATGGTAACCGAATATGTCTGAGGTATGGTATAACGAACACAACATATTTCATATTCGGTGGACAGTCCATTTACTTTCCGTCAATATTGGAAGTTGACACACTAGCTCCCTTGGCTTAGTCTCGGGAACTAGTGTGTGCACACTGTACTTCCATCCTCAAACCATGTGGCATTTGTGTAATGAAAAGTAAGTTTACTGGTGCCCAACTTAACCGGTCCCTTAAAGCCACATTTCAAGCATTTCCATACTAAATGCCATTGATAGCTACATGTACATGCATTTTCTTTAATAGTCTAATACATATTTCATTAATATTTCAAATAAAAACAATGCCACATGCAAATTGCAGCATATTCATATTAGGCTGAAACAAAAAGGTGAATTCTTATGTAGGATTTCAAGTACAAATACACATTTGCCAGCAGAAAACCTGTGATAAAGAATGTCACTCTCATGGTAAGAAAGACCGTAATATCTGAAAATATGCAATAAATACGCTTTTCACCAAGTCACTATTACATGTACACGTGTTCTTCTGAATGATAATTAGACAATAGTTGTTTCAAATTGCACATCTTATCAACAAAGTAAGGTCCTGTACAATATTTGGAATTCTTTTCTATATATTTGACCTGTTCTTAGAAGAAATGGTTAGTGTTAGCATTCAATAATGTGTGACCTGCTCTGTACACAAGCCACAGAGTCACAGATTGACCCAAACATTAGCTGTAATTTTTGTTCATGTTGAAAATGACTATAGTTTTTATAAGCTCCAATTTCATTTCAAGCTTCAGCCAAAAGAAAATTTGCTCAAGAATTTTTCATCACAGAAACTCAAAAAAAAAAAAGGGCCCAAAACAAATTTCTTTTGTATACTGTTTCACCTTGAGTTGCAAAACTGTGCGTGACCTTTCACCATGAAGTAAACCTGAAGGGCAGAGGACTAACACCAACTGAGCAGGTCACATATTCAAAAATAAAATCCTTTGTTCTTGCATCATGCAATAGTGTTAGAGGACCTACAAATAAAAGGTTATGGAGTGACTGCAATAAAGCTTCAATTCTACAGGACGATCAGATCTTCCTGAAAGAGAAACACAACGAAATTAACGACAAACAAGAAATTGGGATAACAGTGAAATTGTTCCGGAGATCTGCAAATGCCAGGGATGAAGACATACAGCATGCTAAGGTCAATCCCTCAAAGGGTCAAAATGTTAGTACCAGTAGGAACAAAATGCTCAGATCAGTTGCTAAGAGACAGCTGCAGTTTCCTCCATTGAAAAGAGGCTCTGGGAGGGACTATTTGTTGTCAGGTGAAGGTGACTAGGGTTTTTTTTTTTGAGGGGAAGGAGGGGGGAAGGGAACAATGGAAACCTTACCAATTTTTTGCTATCAACTCATGTGCAAGTACAGGAGGGCCATTGTTTTATTAACGAACAGTGGAATTTTCTCCCTGCACTTGTTTTTCTTGGATTTCTGAAGTGGAATGTAGTATACGCCGATTTCGAATGATTGGCATGATTTGATTGACCCAGAGTAGGAAAAAAAAACAAGGTGCCACAATGCACAGGACAATGCAACAAGCTTGCCACAGTGCACTTTCAGACCGGTCAGCAATCTGGACAGAAAAGGTACTTGGAGGGTCTGAAATGTCCCCATTGTCCATAGACTCGTCGCCAGTCCCCTGGTAGGAGGCACAGGAGGAGGAATCGTCATCCGAGGAGTTGTAGATGGACCATGTGGGGTCCATGTCCTGCAGGGAGTCGTCAATGGTGTCCACTATCTCCTTCAGCTCTGTGGATAGTTTTGGCCCATTCTTGGGTGAACCGATTCGGTTGGATATCAACAACCCGCAAAACAGGGTCAGGGGAATTTTTTAAACTTTGGATGACTTTTAAACATGTACCATGAGATAGGAGTGGTAGCACTTCTCGTTTGGTTTACCGTCCGTTGGGCTACCACTACCACATGATTGACATGCAGAAACCTGACTAGTCACATGACTGCTGAGCTGATCAACATAATCCATTGAAAACTGGGTAATGAGATACTGACTTGGTTAACAATTGACTGCTCTTGACAGTTCTCATGACCGACACACAAAACCCTTTCAAAAATTGCTTTCAACTGATTGCGTAAACAGTTAACTGAGTGTCAAAACCACTGACCTGGTTAGCATTTGTAAGTGACTGGGTTTGAAAAATGCATTCACTTACTCAACCTGTTGTCTGGTTAGTTTGACGGATTAGCCTAATTACCATTTTGGTTTGAATTTTTTCCCCTTGGTAAGCAGAACACATGGATTCATTGCAACTGTCCCGACACTGGTTTTCCAGCTAACTCTCTGACCATAAACCAGTAGTCTTTGAAAGCGCATTTCACCTCTGTAATTAAATGTTACTTGTTAATTTGCCATTTTCTGGTCATGTTCTTGTAATCCTAAACCAACACAGCACATTAATGATACTCTCTATCAGCATGCAAACAGACCTTTTAATGAATCATTCTTATGTATGTCGATTTGTTCAAATCTGTATTATCCTAATTTTCTGTGTCAGTGAAGACAAAGAAACCATTGGGAAGTAAATTATTTTGTTCATCAAATTAAATTACTCTTCCAAAAAAAAACAAAACGCTCATATCATCTGGTGCAATAATGAATTTAACTTCTAAATCAAAATAATTCAGCTAAAAAAAAGGCACACAAAATAAACTGTTGACAAATATCTACATGTGGGTGTCAACACTTTCAGGAATTGTGTTGTCATCAACAGATGATTAGATCTCTAATTATTGCCAAGAAAAGATTGTTCTGATATCAATATCAACGTTTCAACAGGGCTCAACAAGGTCCCACTAATTTCGCTCTGTTTTTGTTGTTTGTTTTTTCAATTTGTTTTACAGGTGGAAGGTTTAACCCAATGCAGAGAAACTGAAAGAACTGAAAGAAAACAGGCAAGTGTGGCGGGGGAGAGGAGGGGGGGGAGAAGGGAATTGAGACTGGACGGTGCCTGTCATTACCTCGTTTCAGTGTCGATAAGGACCTGTCTATCAGCCCTGGGGGGAAGGAAACACACAAGTTAGTAGCAAACTCTCATGGGGGAAACTCCGTGCCAGTGAAGAGAAACATTTGTGGGGGGGAGGGGGGAAGAAATTGTGACCACAAACTGAAGTGGACAGAAACCTAACTGGTGTTGGCCTTTTCTGGATAAAGCTCAACTGTATCCTTTTCAATCACATCACAACAGATCTCCTTGTCACACTCTTGCGCTCCAACCCTTTAAATATCTTCCAAATCCACTCGGTATTTTGGAGACTTTCTCTGGATTCAGGAAGGCACTACCACACAAGGTACGACGCACCAACTGTTACTTTTACAAAGGTGCCCTTTCCAAAAATAACAAAAAAAGAATGTACCACTGGTTTCAATGATCTTGATAACACATGTACAGATCGGAAGGCAATGGGTATATAATGAATGGGTGTATATGGTCAATGGGACTGTAAGTAATGAGAAACAGTGCAGGAAAAAGCATGCCCATGAGAGGGAAAAAGCAACCACGAAAGTAATTGTTACGTGAACTGTGACATCATTACAAAACCACTATCAGGTCGTTAGTACACAACACTTCAATCACAGCACTATACATCACTGAACGATAAGCAACCAGTACCAGGCCACAGTTGCAAAGCTAAACACCAGATTTGTCTTCACATGACTACAGACAATGCCAGTAGCTTTGGCGTTGTGGCCTGGTAAGTGAGCAGGATCTGCTGTGCGGCCTATCCTGGAGAGCCACTGAAGGACAAGCATGCACTGGTTCAGCCGTTCAGATGGCAAACAAATCTGTGTCATTTTCAGTTGAATTTGCACAAATCCAACATGTGCTTGAATGAAAGGATTGCAAAAGAATGTGGCCAACACAAATGACATTAATGTGTTTCCTGTTCCCTGCCTCAACGATGTGCACTGGAGCTGGTTATCCAGATAAATTGAGTATCAAGAACAGTCCACGAGTACTACGCACCCGACTGACACCAAGTCACCCGACTGACTTACACCAAGTCACCCGACTGACTTACACCAAGTTTTACATGTGCATGATATGGGACAGGGAAAGGGGCGAGCAAGCAACCTCCCACTTTTTGTTCCCCTCACCTGGTTTCGGCCCCGATTTCCCGCCGCTGGACCGCATGAAGCCTCGCTGTATCAACGTTCCGGAGGAGTGGCCCTTGCGGGAGCCCATGTTGGGGGTGGAGTCTGGCTCCAGGGTGATGGAGGGGGGCAGGATGGAGTTCAGACTGACGAGGGAGTCTGACTTGTAGGAGTGGCCGTAGGGTGTGTTCAGCACGACGGCAGTGAAGTACTTCTCTTGCTCCAGGCTCTTGCTGGTACTGGTGTCAGACGACCCACCTGCGAAAAAGGGTAATGTGTTATGTATGCCCCACCAAGCTCAATGGTTAAAGCCCAGACTTAAGTGTCAGAAATCAAAATCAATATAACAAGTTTAACAATAAGTCCAGCCTTACTTGAGTTACAGCAGAGAAGCTATTTCTGTTGTTATATTCATGATGATCTCAACCTTTGACCTACGGGGTCCAAAATCAATAGTCTGCTCGGGGATAAGAAGAAAACCTACATACCAAGTCAAGTCTTCCTTGAGTGATTGTGGGAAAGCTATTTCTTGTTTTTTTACATCAACTTGGACCTATGGAGGTTCAATATTAATACGCTTCAGGCGGTTAACAAGACCAACCCATATAGCAGGTTTGTTGATACGTCCAGTCTTTGGGGAGTCAGGTTGGCATGGTGGCTCTCTCCTTGCCTTTCACGTATGGGGTCTGCGTTCGAATTTTGGCCAGGTCCATGTGTGGATTGGGTTTTCAGTCCCTACTTGATTATGGGAGTTTTACCCAGAACATTCCTCTGGGGTTTTCCTCCCACCTCTAAAACTGTAACTGCTTCTCATTGTCTCCTCTCTACAGGTTTCTTCAGGCTTGCAAGCCACAGTGCCTTGGGTGCTTTTGAGGAATCCTTGGTGTCATTACCAGAAATTAATAATAATAATAGTCTTGAGTTACAGTGGGATATCAATTTTTGGTGTTCAATGGCAAATTCAATTGGCTCCTGCAGGACACCCATAAACCAATTTTGATCGCTGATCGCTTAAACCAGTGACTGGAATGTTTCCATACCGTGATACCAAATTCCCCTAATATTTACCACACAAGCAAGACCAACTTAGGGTCCAAGGTCGAAGTGATGATGGAGGAAGGTTTCATTTAAGGTCAGAGACAGAGGTCTACTCACTGGTGCTGGGGTTCTGTGCTGTCCTGCTGATCATGCCCATCACCCCCTTGCTGTGGAAGCCGCTGGAACGCAGCAACAGGGCCTTGGTGCTGGGGTGGCGCCAGGTGATTGCAGGGAAACGGTACTGGCGGTGGCACTTGGCCAGCCGCCGGATGCTGTCATCTGACAGCGCCGAGGGCACCACGACCAGGGACGGGTAACTGTGGGCAAGGAGGAACACAGGGTGGAGTGGACCGTCAATGAGGGAGATCCCTCAAAAACTCTATAAGTTTTCTTGTTTAGGTTTTTTTTTCACAGGCTGTTACACAGGACAGGATTTATGTCAGACATGGAATTTGTTGGAAATGGAATTATCTTGGACATAAGATTTTGTTGGATGTGCAATTATGTTGCACATAGAATTATGTTGGACATGCAGTTTTTGTTGGACATGGAATTTTGTTGGACACAGAATTATGATGAACAAGCACCTAAGCTGAATTTGTCCAGGGTGAATAGTTTCCATTTTAATATACATTCGGAGGGGGATAGAAGTCAGATTTTTGTATTTCTTGAAATTCAAAAAGAACACATACATTGTGCACACTTGATACACTCACTGCATTCTACTGCCATAATAGTAACTTCCCCATTCAAAGACTCAAGGACTAAGCCTGCTGATGGTTCGATTCTTTGGGGTCTCACTTTGAACTTACAATTTGGGGGAACCTCCTTATGGCTGACTGAGCTTTGAATTATGTGAAATGCAAAGCTCTGGCCCTTTAAAAGCATTGTGAAATTGGTGCTGGTGCCATAA